ACACAGCATTCCTTAAATCCTTAACATATATTTTAAGGACAAAAAGAACTTCAGAGAAGTCTTAAACTTCACTCCATGTTTATTCTAAGTAGTAACATTGTTTTGTAATTCTGAAATGATTTCATATTCATTAAAGGATGAATATGCAAATTTAAATTTGCAAATAAGCAAATGTATTGTTTTATTAGGAACCAAGATGTTTAGTCTAAGGGAAAAGATAAATATATGTAAGATATAAGAAATCAAGAATAAACTCTGAATTTTGAAAAATTCTATATCCTAGTTCTCTCTACTGAAAGGTTTTAGAAGCAGTAATACCTTAGTAGCAGTGTGCACAATCAACCTCCAGGTACTGGTTTCTAAATACATTTCCCGCTAAATGGAACTAAGATTCCTCAGAGGAGGGGATTATTTCCATGTTCTGGCAGCTGAGCTTCAAATATCTACTTGTGCAAGAAAACAAGTACTCAAAAACTACGAAGGGCATGTCAAAGGTTATGGACTCCATTGGGGACCCACTAGGATCATGTCAAAGGCTTTCAATGAGAAACTTGGTAGAATATGATTATAATTATAACTGTAATTGATAGAAATACATTGAATAAATAAAACCACATGTCTATAGCAATATCTAGAGAAACAGAAAAGATAAGAAAGGGCAGGAGTAGATAGGAAAGGAAACTCTTCTACAGACTGATGCTGACTTATATAAAGGAAAAACCAAAAATCATGATTTTGCAAAAGTAACTAACTCAGGCAAGAATCATCAAATGAATGCCAAAACCATTAGTTGAAAGGTTGTTGAAGAGAATACCTTCGATATTATTTCTGAAGTACAAAGCCAATAATGCACCTTTAAAGTGTAAAACCCTGGCAGTCACGTCTTAGCAATCCAGCGTGGCTTCACCAATAGTGGGAGGCACTTAGTGAAGTGGACTTCACCTAGAATGGATGTGTGACCCTGACGTGATGCAATACGAAGTACCTAATACCACCATTGAGGTGTTCTTGCCAAAAAATAATTTGTATCTAATCAAGCCTCTCAACCTAATTTCCAATTTACAGGAAATATAGGAGAGAGAGAGAGGAACAAGTTAAAAAATAACATCAGGAAACTATCAGACAAATCCAGAATGTGGAATAGTTTATGAAACAATTGGCTAGACTCTTCCAAAAGTCAATTTCTTAAAAAAAAAAAATGGACATGGGGGGTACAGAGAAACTTTACTAGCTTAAAATTTGAGTTAAGAGACAAGATAACCAATTATAATACACACCTGAATTGGATGGACTATGATTTGAAAAAACAGCTATAAAAACATTCTCAGCACAATCAAGGATATCTGTATATAGACTGAACATTAGGTGAAATTCTGGAATTATTAATGTTCATTAGTGGTATTATGATTATGTAAAACACTGTCTTTATTTTAAAAGAAGCATATTCAAGTATTTACAGGTGAAGTATCGTAGTGGTACCTGTAATTACTTTCAACAATAATACACACACAACACACAAAATGTTAACAATTGTTGAATATTAAGAGTAGAAAGTGTTCACTCTTTCAATAGTTCTGAAATATCTAATTTTTATAATAAAAAGTTGAGGAGATATCATTGAAAGGCAAAATAAAATTCTTTAATAAACAAACCCTACTCAAGTTTATGGGCCCAAAGTTGAGAATTACTAGTTAATTTGTCTTTATACTTCCCAGAGTGTTAACTCAACATACAGGATTACCCCAAAACTGTAAGACACAAACTCTCAGTCCCTTATATGCATCACCCTCTTAAGGATAACAGTCTCTTATATATAATACAGTCTCTTATATATAATACAAGTTTGACATTAAGACACAAGGATTGAAAGGAAGGGGCTATCAAAACTTCAAACCACTAATTCAAGTACCGGTCTCTGTCAAAACACATCACACACACACACACAACACACATACAAATGAGTGCATCTTAAACTGGAGAGAGCTGAGTATGCTCTGTGGACTGTACTGTATCAATATCTAATGGTCTGCCTTGGCTCTAAGTCACACAGGCAGACACAGTGTAATGGTGTAGCAAATTCCCAATTTGCTAAAATTCAACATTGGAGTCCAGGTCAAGTTCTTAGCTTGTAAAAGTGACCATCTGCCTTGCTTTGTTTTGTGCACGCACTTCAGTTGTAATATTGTGGTATACTTACTTAAGATTTTATCACTAGGGAAAACATGGGACCTCCCTATACATTTTATACATTTTTCTACAAATTGCTGTCAATCTACACTTATTTTAAAACAGAACAAAAAACACATTATAGATCTGTTTAGTATTGTCCAATTTGAACATATCCTGAAACTTTTCCTTCCCAAAACCAATCTAAAAGAAATGCTTTCCTTCAAAAGAGCCCTTCAAAATCCTAAGAATAGTCAATACTGTTGAAGTCCAAACAAAAAATGAAGAGATCTTTGTATCTCTTACAAATAAATGAGTCCCTTCAAGACCCCTTAGTTTCCTTCACAGTCCTCTGTCACCTCACCCCAGAGTGAAATTTGAATTCTCAGTTGGTTTAGTCTTCCAGATTCACATAATCAAGTAAAGCAGGTGAAGTGAGCCCACATTTCCCATATTTTCATACTCCCTGCAGCCAACTCTAGAGCTGGATTCATTCGAGCTGCCAATAGCCAACAACCTGGGGAAAAGCACAGCCATGCCATTCCACTCCCCACATCTGCTGTTTCTCTTATCTTTGGAGCCTAAGGAATAACTAGTAGCCTGGTTACTACTGCCTCTGAATTTCACTGAAGGAGTCAGGACAAGTCTGTGATTTTTCCAAAGAATGAGCATTTGCATCTTTTTGTTCCTGAGATGAAACTGAGTGGAAGTAAGAAACCATGTAGAATCCTGCTCTCATCAAAAGAACCCTCTCCAACAGCCCTATCTGTTGGAAGTGAAAACAGAGCTTCAGCTGCAGAATCTCTCACTTAGCCTGTTCCCACTTGCCCCCAAACTCAGCCAGGCCCATGCCCACAACTGCACAAGAGCCTAGAGGTCCTTGATATGGAGGAATAGGCAAGGGCATGTTTTCCAGGCTGCCAGCTACACATGGTCCTATATCCATAATCAACCTTATGCTGGGTCCTGACTGCCCCAAGCTATAGCAGAGGTCACTGCATGAAAATAGCACACAAGAAACAATACTGAGAGGCCTATATGGTAAATGCTTGACTGGGTTTGTATTTTTTTTAACAGACTCACCATCTGGTTTTCATTTTACCTGAATATATGAATTTTGCCTTAATTACTATTAAAGGAGTCCTGAAAATACTCACATGATGCAATTGTCCAACACTGCCTGATTTTTCAAGCAAGAAAATACCTTTCATATACTCAACAAAAGTGGAATATAAAAACATTTATTATATGTATACACAGGCATGTATTTTATAGCTATTCGAACAGACACATGAATGAAAAGAAACATAGCAAAGCACCAACAATAGCTATTGTAAGGTGGTGGAAGTACAAGGATTTAACTTTTTCTTTATATTTTCCTATGTTTTACACTTTTTTAAAAACAGTGATCAAGTATTGTGCATTTACAATCAAAGCCAGGCTTAGGTGAAGGACAGCTCTACAGAGATTCCACTAGAGATGGGAAAGGAGCAAGCCCTGGCTGGCCACAGCAGCCGTGTCACTGAGGCAGCACAGGCATCACAGCACTGCAGGGAAAGAAACTGAACTCTCAGTTCATAAAATTCCAAAAGATTACATTTAACACGGTACCTACAAGTCTGCCAGTAAACAAGAAGTGTGTTAATAAATATGCAAAGACTGTGTGCTCCAGCGACTCCATCTCCCAACACACCACTGGCGAGACGTCCAGCCTTCGGGTAGGGAAGGTGCTGCTGATCATTCCATTCACAGGGAGCACACTTCATAAATAACTCCACTGCTGCATTTAAATTACAATAAGCAAGAATTTGCTGCTCCTTCTACTACTCTTTAAAATAATCCTAAAATCTCTCTTTCTGGATAGCACACCTGAGATCAGTTTAACAATTATCTCCCTCCACAGACCCCAGGTTTGGAGAAATTATGACTTGACTTAAAGTCATCCCAAATCCCCGAAGCCACTGGTTAACTCTTTCTAGAATCTGTAAAATATGATGTTAATTCCTATTCACAATTAGGCAAGTTAGAAGCAAGCATAAGCATAAAGTAAAATTTCAGATAAAAATAATTTAAAATACAATGGATTTAGTTCATTATAATCTATTACTATTTTTAAAAAATTTAAATATGGACTTATGCATATACGTACATGCACATGCACAGGCACACATACACTTGCTTTTTGTCTGGGTCAAGTTCTCCTTTTTCCCATCTAAAGCTGCACAGTAAATCCTCCTGTGACCATTTCAAGAACTATTTTTTGCTACTAAATTTTGCCAACAATCTGCTCAGCATTCTAGCAGATGTTTCTGTTTTCCAACCTCTGGGAACTTGGCTGGATCTGTTTTCTTCTCCCACGTTAAAAATAAAAGAAATGGCACAAATGTGGCCTAATACCCTAGAGAAGCTTTTCCCCCACTCCACACCCCTCAATCTCCCTACTCATGTGACCTCCATGATCCCTTTTCGAATTTTTTCTTTTCCATTAGAGAAGATGTTTCCAATTATGGTCCATTATGTTGCCAAGGATGACATCACACGTGTGGGGTGTGTGTGTGTGTGTGTGTGTGTGTGTGTGTGTGTGTGTGTGTGTGTGTGTGTGTTTTAAATGCTGCTGCCTCTTAGTTACTTGGAGACTATCTGCAACAATTTAAGCCAACTGCTCTGCTGGACCTATGAACTCACAATGCCACAGGAGGGCCATTTGGTCAAATGATCAGATTTTCCAAACAGAATAATGCTTTTACATTATTGGGAGAGGGGGGTGAGAATCCTTGTCTTCTATCTAACAATTTCTATCTATTTTTTTAAAAACATGTGTGACCCAACCTTACCTCAGTGACATCCATGACTTTGATGGCTGCCAACTGACCCGTTTTAACATGACGACCCTGAAAAACAGAGAAAAGGAAGATCAATCAGCACTAGCATTTTGCACAATCATTAGAACAAAATGGATGAAGTAGCCAACAAATCATATCTTATACTTTTGTTAACCAAAAGCAATGATGAAATAATCCTGTGTCTCCAATAGAATAACACAGCTTATAATATCAATGAACCACACTTAATTAACAAGACATTAGTGGAATAAATGAGTTTCGATAAAGTATCAATTCCTTCTTTCTTTCACAGGTTTAATTTACATATCATTATCTCCAAGAAACTTTAAGTTTTCTTCTACATATTAGGATTACCATCCTTAACATTCTGCATGAAAATACTGCCCCCAAAAATCCTTCTAGATATTTTATTGTCAAAAATGAGTAACAGTAATTTTTCCCTAGTAATCCCAATACCCATTACTGGGTTTCACAAGTATTACATTGAGTATCTTCTTTGAAGCTTTCTTGCAGTCCTACCGCAGGGAGGTTGGAGAATAATCATCCAGAACAAAGGAAGTGTATAAAGAGATTGGAGGGAGGAAGAACAGGAAGTTACAGCTATAACTCTTGTCCAAGAATCTAAAATGTTATAACCGATTTATATCATTAGGTATTTCACACAATTAATAACATTCTCCTTTCACCCAGATGAGGGTGTCAGGTTTCATTATAGTCAGTCTTGTTCCTCTCTATTCTTTGCTGGTCATTTCTCAAGCCAATTACAGAGAACACCCAAATATCCTGAGCATCCTGAGCATGGTCTTCCTAAAGATTTTGTGAGAAATGGTCCCTCTGCAACAGATGTGAAATAGAAAGAACATCCCTATATTTCCCAAGAGCCTGTTTCTCTTGCAGACTCATGATTTAAAGAGTTGTGAACTTTAAAACTTCAAACCTGAGGAGGACTGTTTGTGCAGGAACTCAGCTTACAACTTGGACAAAGCAACTCCATGAAAATGACACTATATCATAACTGTTACACTCAGTAACTGTGACCTAGCCAAGTCACAGCCTGGTATGGTCAGGCTCCTGTCTGTAAAAGTGAGGTAATATTGGTGCCCACTTCATTGGACTGTTGTATACAAACACTGAGATGCAAAGACTAGTGTGTGGCACATGGTCAGTGCCAAGCACAACCTTGGAACCTTATTTCCCTAAATAGATGATAGTATCAGGTAGCTCCTATGACTGTCAACACAGTCATGAAACCAAATTATGGTTTTATTGAATCTAACAACAAAAAGTAGAACTTAAGAGAACATAGTATTAAATAATCCTCTGCTACTCTTCAGGCAAGATACACTTAATATAATTCATAAGCACCTAACCAGGCTTCAAACCTGTTACTCTCCTTGCAGTGGGTTTATTTCTAAATTACCAAAGCCTATTTCTTGCTGACAGAAACCAAGTGATGGGAGAAAATGGCACAAAAGTTTGTCCTGGATTTTCCTCTTCTGAATAGGGTATTTAATATGTGTATTGGGAATGTGTTGGGTAAAATGTGGGGGAGGGGAAGCCTTCTGAGTATCTAATATGGTAACACCTAAGATCCCTACACATCAAGAAAATCCCTCAGTCAGTAAAAAAGCCTCTCCAAATGTTCACATGGTAGTATCATACTTTTTTCTTTTTCCTCTAAACAAGCCTTAACATAAATAAAGCCATAAGGAACAACCAAAAAAAGATCTGTGCTTCCCTCTAGGCCTGAACTCAAGACCGCAAGTGTATGTTCTCAAGACTTAGCAGTTTGACAGTGGCATAAAAGCTGAGATGTGTAAATTCACTCAGCATTTGCTTTATATAGAACATGAGTTTCCCTTACAAAGGGAATACAGAATCAGGACCTAACAACTAATCAATGATTTTGGGGACAGAGGTCAGACCATGCAAAGGCATTAGTCTTCATTAACATATACTAGGTCTCCAAGTTAGGTCCATTTTAAATAAATTTAAATCAGGAATGTGTCTAAGAATTCCATCTCCTTCATTTCTAAGAAACAAGATGATGTACTAGAAAAATGAATCTGTGATTCAGGCAACCTTGGACTCTCATCCCCCCTCTACATCCCAGCACTATTTTTCCTTGGGAAAGTTGCTTAACTTATAGGAGCTTCCTAAGACTACTCTAGGGCCCAAAGCGTCCTGGTTCCTTGCACCTGTTTCAGGTAAGGCAGGCTGCAGATAAAATACAGAGAGTATGTAAGGGTGGCCATTGTGCCGGACACACAGTGGGCGCTCAGCTGAGCTTCTTCCTTGTTCCAGCCCACCACAGGCCCACGCTGATTCCCTGCCCCTTTCTCCCTAATTCAGATTATGACTGCCTCAAACCTAGTCAATTCAGGCCCACTGCTAACTTCTGAAAGGCCTGGCCAATGAAAGGAGAGAGTGGGGCAATAAAATAATGTACTTATTTAAAAAAAAAAAAAAGCAAAGCTCTAAATTTTAAACTAATAGAAGTATAATCTATCTGCTGAGATGGGCCACCTTTGTGTAAAGGAACAAAAATGGCCAGTAAAAATAGCCTCAGGAGAAAAACTGAAGCTGAGACTCAATGTTAATACTGAATGTTAATATGCACGTAATCGTGCTAAGGAGGCTACACCAAGAGTTTTTTAAAAAGATAAAAATTTGTCTGTTACTCAACACTACCCAATGGAGAAATATACTGACTCTCCTCTCAGAGTGTGCTACAAGCTTGTCTGCAAAAACTGGGTGCCGCCACTCATAAGGGAGGCCCTTACCACCTTTCTCATGGCATCCCTTTAGCTATAGCATACCGCACTCCTTCATACTGACTACAGAGTATTCAGAGAGAAAATGAAAATGTGCATAATTATAAATGGACTGCATTGTGCTAGGAAATTAAGGATACAGAAAAAGGCATTATTCACTGATGTTTCTATGAGGTTATACATCTATTATATCATCCAATTTTGACCTCCGTAATGTCTTGTGCAGCCTGCTTACTGCAGATGAACAATATGACCACACTCCTTCACCTGGCTCTGGACCACTGGATCACTCTGGACCCACCTGGTGCTGGATTACTGAAACATCTAACTTTCACACAGAGAGATTTTGAACTTAATATTAACAAGGTCTTTCTTTCCCTGTATCATCCATTCTTAAAGTACACCAGTAAATGATTTGGTCAGCATTAAATATACATATCTAGCATCCATCTATGAACTTTACTCCTTGTCTACTGTCTACGTTTATGGACACGGCTGTCTATGGCTCTAAAATCCGGCAGAGATTAAAGTTCATGTTTTACTTCGCACTTTACATGGTACTATGTAAACATTAATGGATTTATCAGACAATGACAAACGACGGTTCAATACTATTCACTGCTATTTTGCAATAGTCTGAAGACTATGAGCAACCATGATTGTTGACCGCGGGACCCGTATCTGCCTAGACCGCCCAGGTCAACAAGCCTTTCCACGATAAAATGCAAGAGGGGCTCTGTTTTCAATCAAATTGTCAAATTCCTGCTATCACCAATGTTTTGTTTTTTAGCAACAGTCTTTATTTATTTCCCCCTAACTCTTTCAACCGGTTATCAGACACTAGTAACAACTTTATAAATTTCTAAGATTTTAAATTTTACTCCAATTGACATCATTCTCATGAAAGCCTCTGATTTAGCTCACACTAACGCGAGCCTTCTTGGTGTAGAGCAACTCTTGGTAGCTTTGGGTTCCGTTTAATTTTAAATTTACAAAAAGCATTATTTTTTTTAAGCAGAAAACTCAAACTATTCTTGGCAGACAGTTCAAGATAAGGAACATGGCTAATTTCCAATTTTTTTTCTTTCTTCATGTTCACCTGCACCTTGCAAATCAACTACATTTATAGCATTTCCAAGAAATAACCCACCCCTCACTATGATTTTAAAATGCAGGGCACGCTGTGCACCAGTTGTCTGCTCTACCCAAAGTTGTGCCCTGGCCCAGAAAGAGAGCTAAACAGACAGGGATATACATTCAAGGGAGCTTTAAAATCCCGAAGAGAAAAGACAAGAATGTTCCTACTCATTCCTAAATTTCATGTCACCAAGCATATGGTACTAATTCATATTACATAATTTCCCTAAACTTCATAACTCCATTAAAGTACTTTGATTGATTAAGTAATTTCCTTGAGAGGCATATTTCTGGTGGTTCTTCACGATTAAGGAAACTTGGAAGAGGTACAAATAATCCAGAAATGAAAACAGAGCCCTTAACTCTTATGGCTTCTAATCTAAAGGAATGACCATACTCACTACTATAACAAAGTTTTTACTCTTGGCCGGGCGCTGTGGCTCGCCGTATCCTAGCTCTTGGGAGGCGAGGCGGGCGGATTGCTCAAGGTCGGAGTTCATACCAGCCTGAGCAAGAGCGGACCCCGTCTCTACTATAAATAGAAAGAAATTAATTGGCCACTGATATATACATTACGAAAATTAGCCGGGCAATCGGTGGCCATGCCCTGTCATCCAGCTACTTCGGGAGCTAGGCAGGATGGAATCTGAGCCAGGAGTTTGAGGTTGCTGTGGAGCTATGCTGACGCACGGCATCCATCCTAGCCCTGGACAAACAACGTGAGACTCCTGTTCAAAAAAAAAAAGTTTTACTCTGATTCCCCAACCTTCCCTCACACCTTAATACAGAAGTGCACTGCAACTCAACAGCACTTTATGTTAATAGTTCTCTTTGAATCTCCCCTTTTTTCACAGCATCATAAAACTTTTGTACTCATTCGACCTAAAAGAGAATGGGTAGAATAGTAGAGAGGGAAATTCTATCAAGTTTATGACACTATCTAAGGTAAGTAAATACACAACTTAGGAATAACAAATGGACTCTTCCCTCAATATCCTGGAGGGGTGCACACTTAACCTGAACTCCAGCAAGCACACCCCTGTGACACCTAGACAGCATTACAGTCCTGGAGATGTGGCTGTAAGAACAGGACCCAGGCACCACGTTGGCCCCGCTTTTGGGACATTTAGTGAACAA